TTTAGGGTTTCGAGCAATTGGGAGTGGTATTCTGTTATCGTCAGTTGCTGCCATCTTCATCAATATGGGTCTTAGTGGCAAAACTCGTCCAGTATGTATCTAATCTAATCTCCGTTCTTCTATGTGTTTTCATTATTTGCATGGTTTAATTACAACTATCATTAAGTTATACACATGTATGTAAAAAATATATTCCACACTTTTAAGTTTTAAGATGAGATGATCAGGTAATCATTAGTCCAGAGAATCTTAATATTACTTATGAAATTAAATACTATATTTTTTTGAAAAGACAAAAAAAAATAATAATAATAAACCACTAGGAAAGTTTAGTAGCATTCTGCATGAGTTCAAGTATCAAAAAAGATTGATACTTTAAGTAAGAGCAAGATTAGAAGTATACGAATACGCAAGCATCCAAACAATGATTATTGTTGTGTTTTTTTTTTTTTTTTGGAAGCAGGGAAAGAAGTTCCCTAATCTACTTTTCCCGATTGAAATAAAAAACATACATATGGCCAAACATGGTAGTGATTCAGGAGTCTACGACACTCATGGAAGGTACAGTTAGGTTTTAATTTCTCAAATAAATAAAACATTCTTCCACAAATGTAGTAAAGATTCACTTACACTTACATGTTATGTTTAAGGTTTGTTCCTTCCAAGTTTGAGGAGATATTTGACAAGTATGCACACACGAATTCAGATGCCTTGACTTCAGATGAACTCGACAAATTTATCAAAGGAAACCGGGAACCCAAGGACTATGCAGGATGGTAATTAAGAACATTTGGATCATCGATCATGCGAATGGTTTCTTGAATAAAATATTAATCCTATGATTTACTTATTTAATAAGTTATTATATCTGTAGGATCGGAGGCCTATCTGAATGGAAGATCTTGTATTTCCTAGGCAAGGACAAAGATGGTTTATTAAGAAAGGAAACCATTAAAGCTGTTTATGATGGAAGCTTGTTTGAAAAAATGGCAGTGGAAAAGATTAATTCGTCCAAGAAGAAACACGTGTAAAACTTATACGATTGGGTGTTAATAAATGTTGAACATGATAATTAAATTTGTTTTAAGATTTTTATTTTTTATATCTTTTTTCTCTGCAGTGATAAATAAAGACAAGCAACGGGTGAAAGTGTTGTGTGATTGGATTTTACACTTGCTGATTTTATGATTGATGTCTTAAAGAATTGTTATTGTTGGGTTGAGAAGTGGATAACAACTGACAACAAAGTGTCTTATGTACTATTCTTGTAAATATATATTTTTAATTGTATTTATACTGTATAAAACACTATTAAAGTTATTAGATTAATGTGCATATATATATATATATATATATATATATATATATATATATATATATATATTTATCTTTACTATATTATTAAGGATATTGCTCATTTCTTGAAAATTAAGAGGTACAACATATATTCCCTCTTATACAATAATTTTAAGCATAAACATATAACCAATCTCATACCAATTACACTACACGGATCAATTACATCATATACGTATTACATACACTGCATACACTACACGAGACCTTACCCTAATTTCCTAAACACAGCCGCCATCAAACCTATTCTCATCGTCTCCACCAAAGATGCAATGATCTTCAGCCTCCCACCGAAGGTCCACGACTGTCGTCATTTCTCCCAATCTCTTCCATCACTTCTCCATCGTCTCTCTCTCTCTCTCTCTCTCTCTCTCTCTCTCTCTCATAAAAACCCTAAGCAGTGTTGAGGAGTCTTTTTGTTTCTTGACGCAAATCTGGAAATCGCTATCTTAATTGTTGGCCAAGTTGTCACTCCTGCCGTCAAGGTTCTCCCCTCTTTCTTCTACTTCCACCCTCGTGATACCATCGCTATCTCAACCCTCCAGCAGCCCTATGCTATCATCACCAAGCTTTCGTCGATCCAACCCAGAAGATGGTCCCACATTAACCCTTACATACTCACCCGAGTGTTCTTCCCTTTCAACTATATAATTGATGCCATGGAACCCAATTTCCTTCATTCCAACAAAAATTATCTTAAATCGTCATCTTCATGCAGTCTCTGTCGGTACTTCTCTGGCGATGAACCCCCCAAGCAGTATATTTCCTAGCATCACTTCTTCAGCGTCAAACGCCCACACTTGATCTGGTAAGTTTTTTTTCAAGCTTTCACCGGTACAACCTAGAAGATTCAGAGTTCCCTAATTTTTCGAATTTGATTGCATCATGCTTGATTAAATTTTTCGAAGAACGTTAAAAGTGTTCAAAGTTCATGTCTTTTTTTCTAATGATCTGATTTTCATTATATTTTGATTCACTAATAGTGTGTGTGTGTGTGTATATATATATATATATATGTTGTTTTATGACAGAAAACATGCACAATATGTTTAGCTTCAATGAAACGTGGAGAAGGACAAGCTATTTTCACAAGAGAATGTTCACATTCATTCAATTTCCAGTGTACTGCTTCAAATGTGAAAGATGGGAATCACATTTGCCCTGTTTGCAGAGCAAAATGGAAAGCAGTTCCATTACTGGGTCCCAAAAATTTCGACCCTTCATTAGGAAGAACAAGAATGAACCCTGTAAATTGGTCACAAGACAATCTAGTGATGACCTCACACTGCCCAAACAGCCCCCCGCCACGTCACCGCCACCTCCCCGATTTTCTAGTCCCCGAACCACCTGTTTTTAACGATGATGAACCGTTAAACCTTAAATATTCAAATAAAACCTATTCAGATTTAGACAAGTCTTTGTTAAAAAGGGTATCAGTCAAAACATACACCGAGTTCCCATCAGTTCCTCAGTTTACTTCTGTTAAGCAAGTGGTCAAAGGTAAGGATCATTCATCATCTTTTTTTATAAAAAATATGTAATTTTTCCATAATTGCCCCTTGTACAATGACAACAGGTTGGCTTGGTTGTATATGATCATCAAGTGCCATATGGTGCAACTCTAGAATACGTGGTTGGTCATTACATGGTACTTATAAAAAAGTTTTATTTATTTATTTATTTTAAATTATAAATTTTTCTTATTCTTTATAGGTGCAAATTGCAAGCTTTTTTCTACCTGTAATGGTTGTTGCTCCTCAAGAGGAAGAACAAATTGTTGACATGGCGTAAGTATTCATCATATTTTTACATTTTATCTCCAAATAATGATTTAAAAACTTTTAGTTTGTATAAAGTTTTTAATTAAAAGGAATTGTAGTCTCTCAATTTTATATACTTTCTTTGTTTTACTACATTTAAAAAAAAATTACTTGTTGTAGGGCTTCTCGTGGTGGTAAAACTTTATACATTGCAGCTCTTATGAAAAACAATGGGCATTTTTGTAATTTGCTTTTGTTTTATTTGATTTCAGCTTCCAAAAGTATTAGAACATAACACAACAGACAGGGTTTTGTTGGATGCCAAGTATTAAATGACAAAATCAGCCTCGAGAAAGAGTCTGAAATTAAATCACGCCCTACTAAAAGGTAATTTACAAACAAAGTTGCATTTGTACCCTTCACCCTTGTTTATTCTTCTTTCTTTATCCGTTTATTAAAAATTTGGAAAATGTTTTTTTTTATTTTACTTCTTTAGTTAACTCATATTTTGGTCTTTGCATATTTTGGGCTTAACCCATTAAGTCACTATGCCCATATTAAGTGAAAAAGAAACAGCCATGTGTAGCTGTCCAGATTAAGTGCATAACCCATTAAGCCCATTAAGTAAAAAACAAAACAACCCCTCAATACTATGATGATTTAACTTGTTCTAATCTGACATTGTCTTTTAGCTATCTTGAGCTTGCGATATTGCTATGCTGGCGATTTTTGCATGATAATGTAATGGATGACCTCATGCGATTGGTTACAATGATAAGAGGGGTTGCAGATCCATTAGCATCAGCCTGCTGTCGCTTTTTTTTTGCTTCATTGTGCCCAGAAACTTCCCCAACTTGATACAGGTATCGACTTTTTAATTCTGTAATGTGCAAATGATTAAGTGGCCTAATTATATGTTTTGACTATGATATAGGGCATCTGATAGCTTGCATTAGTGACAAAAAAATTGTACTTACACGGATTGTATCCATCAAAGAAATCAAGTATGGGAACTTTTTGGGAGATCGAAGGTTGGTTATCAGCTTGATGGAACCAACAATTGAGTATATCATGAAATGCATTTTTGGGAATCCAAATCAGGTTAGAGATTTTGACTTTTTGACTACATATTCATTGCTGGTATACTATGGGATGTTAAATTTTTAACTACAAGTTGCTGATATGATTGTGAGACTTGGATTAGGAAATAATTCATTGGAGTTATATGGAGAAGTTCCTTAGATATCGATTATTCTCCATTATTTACTTAGGGAACTTCCAATTGATGTAGTATGTTCCAATGCTGTTGAATTTCTTCACTTTGTTGATTGCAACTCTGATTATTCATTTGACCATGTAACCTTCTTAAGATTTTACCATTTTGCCATTTGACTTTTGTCAACTTTTGGTTTTGAATTTGTATATGTTTACCTTTTGTTAAACTGTTCTTTGCCATTTGACTGTGGTCAACTTTTACTGATCTGTTAAATTGTTCTTTAGATTATAATATATTTCCACAAATAAAATCGACAAATATTATATTCATTTTTTTTTAATTTTTTAGTATATTTGTTAAGGTTCATATGATTTGAAATATTTTTGGTAGGGATTTTGATAGTTATTATATTTATTTTAAATTTTTTTAGTATTTTGGTAGGGATTTTGATAATTAGTATATTTGTTAATTTTGTAAGATTTTAAATATTATTGGTATGGATTTTAATATTCATGGTAAGATTTTAATTTGCTTAATTTTGGAATGATTATCAATATCCAAAAATACAACATTATATTCTATAATAGATTATTCAACCTATAAATTTAAGTTATGTTCTTCATTTTTACTCACAGCAAAAATTTCACAGTTGAGGTTTTGGGACGATTTGATCATTGAGTTGGAATCGGGAAGACTGCTACACTGCTTCATTGCGTTTCTTGACACGGATTCAGGTTCTCTTTACTTCTTTTATATTTTGTAACTTCAAATGTGTATAATATTTTATTTCTTACTTCTATTTGAAGTGATAAACTTGTTTTGTTTCAACTGTTGATATTATTCTGTCTTCTATCTAAATTGATCACTCTTCTTATTCTTTATCTCAAATAATACATGTATATAATTTGTATATATGTGTGTATGTATTTGTTTGTATTCTATCTAAATTGATCAATCTTCTTATTCTTTATCTCAAATAATACATGTATATAATTGAATTCTATGTGTGTATTTATTTGTTTCTGACATTCTCCATATGTGTGGTTTGTATATGTATAAGTTAGGACATTTGTTTTGAATATTTTTAATCAGTAAATATCTTTTAATTATCAAATTGATTGTGGTATTCTCGCATGTTCTTTTGAAACTTGCCAAAGAAAAAACACCACAGTTTGTTTCTTCATTATCAATACTATATATTATCTTTATTATTATTATTATTATTATTATTATTATTATTATTATTATTATTATTATTATTATTATTGATGGGTTTTAGATATAATAATTTATTATAATTTATACAATTAGACTTTTTTTTTTATTTGACAAGTTACATTTTTATTAATAAATATTATTTGTTATTAATATATGCTTTAGGTTTTCTGTAATATTTAATAAATAAACCATGTAATAAATAAACCTTACAGCTTTGGGCATCTCAAATCAATATAGTTTTTAATATAAATAAACCTTACAGCTTCCAATAATAAATCACCTAGAAAATCTATCCACATTAAAACGCTATTTTTCATGTAATTATTCTTAATATTTTAATGTTTGATAGACTAAATTTTCGAAAATACAACTATCTGTTTTTCTATTTAAATATAACATAACTAACGTTAAGATATATAATCACAAAAAAAAAAATAAGCCCACACCTTTAAGTTTATAAACCCAAATCTTAGTTTAAAAAGAATGTAATTAGTTTTTGAGCATCTCAACAAATTCAACAGTTTTTTGAACATCACAAATTAATGAGTATTTGCTTAAAACCCGAAGCTTTTATTATAAAAATTATTGGTGTGAACTATAAAATTTATATTGTTTAATGTTTCAACAAATTTAACACTAACTTCAAGCTTTTTTAAGTACTAAATTATTTACTTTAATTTTAATACAATATGATATCTACATTTTACCATGTAATAAAAACTCTTATTGCTTGAATATTTCAAAAGCACGATACATATGTTATTATACTTTGGTAATCTCAAATCAATATAGTTTTTAATATAAATAATTAAATAAATCAATTCTACATCAATCACATCCGACCTTCGTTTTGTAGAATCATGAATGGTCATATTTACGTTGATGCATTTTCGTTGCTACTAAACTACCATTTGTGGTATGTTTTGACATCCGTTCGTATTGATTTCATTTGGAGGGACTCAAGAGCAAACAAACTTTTCATGGTTCTCATTGATCAAAATGTATGTTTACAAAACTATTTATATCTTATATTCATTTTCATAATTTATCACAAGTATTTTTGTTTATAAAAATATTACATTTTCTATTAGAGAGAGAAAGTGTTAGCAGTTGTTCCACAACAAATGATGCGCTTTATTTATGGAGGGAATCTATTGGGTGTTGTGTTTTCTTTAAACCATTTCCAAATCGAACCAACCTATGCTGAGTATCCGAGATATCAAGAATATAGTTTATTACGTGGTGATTTGATGATTAAGATCAGCAACAACACACGGTTTAATCGTTTGGCCGATGCTATCATATCATGGTTTCCGGTTTTCCCATTGGTTCCCACAATAAAAAGTTTAGTAGAAGATCGGACAGAGAGAAAAATGATGATCGGTAAATTTAATAAATTGTATATATTTTCAGCATTCTAAAGTTTTTAAAATAATAACAAGTTGTCCTTTTAATTATCGTTATTTTTAGATATTGTTGGAAAAATCATCAGAGGCAAGCGAAACTATTCCCGTTACTCTGGTTTACTGACGTTAACTTCTTTCACTTTATATCTCCAAGATGGGCTGTAAGTGTTTATTATTATTATTATTATTATTATTATTATTATTATTATTATTATTATTATTATTATTTTATTATCTTTATCTTTATTATTATTATGATTACACTAAAGCAAAATTAGGTGACTTTGGAAATATTTGATTATAAATAGAGGGAGTATAATAAAGATGAAACTACATATAACCGACCGAACACGCCATCAAATTGTGAGGACTGTCTATGCGATAGAGAGAAAGTATATAATATTTGTTTCTCGGGTGAAATTGGTTCATTTGGATTCAAGTAACTTTTTTCTAGAAAATTATAATAATTGTAGTGATATTAAAATACCTAAATCAATACATTTTAATAGTTTTTATCTTATTTTCAGTGAACATTTTGATATCAACCAAACTAAGCAACGTAGAGTTCCAACCGCGGATGCCGGAAGCATTTAACATCATAAATATGCCTAGAAGAATTTTTAATTCCGTGTGAGACATTTGGTGGTGTTTTTTTTTTGAAGTTTTGATAACTTTTACGAGTGCGTTGCTTTTATTGTTGATCTACATTAATGTTAGACATATTATGGTGAATTTTTTCATGTATGGTTTATTTTTCTTGTGTTGACTTATGAATTCATAAATAATAATTTTTGGATATCTATGGAAATTTTCTTTTAATTATGTATAACTTTCTTCTATTGTGTTTTTGGATTACAAGTTTTTAGTATATTTGTTTATTTATTAAGGGTTGTGTTGCTTTTTGAAACACACACATACATGATTACTAAATCACATGGTCTACATTACAAAATGTTACATTCTTGATGATATAATATGTGCTTATTCTTAACATTTCCATTATAGTGTTCAATGGGGACTGTAGATAAGGGAAACGAAAACTGTGATGATTCCCAAAACCCGATAGATATAGAAAAAGGTATGTCGTTTATATGAGTATATATTTGCATTTATAATATATAACTATTTATCCAAATAATATGTTTGTAGAAAATCGAAAAAGATACAATAGAAACTATTATGCACGAAAAAAGGAGAAAAACAAAAAGAGAAGAATAGCTAACGGTGAAGGATGTAGTCAACCTACAACACTCACAAGTTGCACTATAATGGAGACAAACGAAACAAATATCAACGAAGATTCCTCTGTGAGTGTTATAAGTGCTGCTCAGAGGACGAGTACTTATAATAAAGAATATTATCAACGAAGAAAGGAACGAACTATGATGACAAAAAGAAGAGTATACGCCTTTCAGGACGATCCGTATGATTTTGTTTATGAAAATATCCGTATGGAACATCGTATATTAAAGGCTCAAAACCCTTGTGTTTATTGTGGAGCAAAGCGACTACAATATGAATTCCCTACCTTTTGTTGCATGAGTGGGAAGACAAAACTGGCACACTCCCCTATTCCCACAGAGTTGCACCAACTCTTCACAAGGCAAGAGCAGCTAGAAGAAAGCTTCAGGTACAATATAAGGGCGTATAACTCAAACTTTTCTTTCGCATCACTAGGTGTAAATGTGGATAAAGAATTGGCCAATATGAATTCTGGAGTTTACACTTTTTGTGCGCACGGAACACTCTATCATAATATCGATCAGCTAATTTCAAGGGATGGTAAATCGAGGTATTTACAGTTGTATTTTTATGACGGTGAAGCTGAAATATCACAAAGATCCTCCTGGAAGAATGTTGATAGAAGAATCATCCAAAAACTAACACGTATTCTAGCTTCGAATCCGTACGTTAGAACATTTAAACAACTTTCTGATCTAGGACCGCTTGATAATTATAGAGTGACTTTGAATGCATCGGTGGAGCTTCACACACGTGGAGGTTTGCGAGAGAGTTTCAACAGCTGCCGCCCCACATTCCCTTCCGGCTCCTCTTCGCAGGTCTCCACGATTCACACACGTGGAGGTTTGCGAGAGAGTTTCGACAGCCACCGCTCCACATTCCCTTCCGGCTCCTCTTCGTAGATCTCCACGATTTACGAAAGTGGAGGTTTGTGAGAGAGTTTCGATTGCCGCTGTTCCAGAATCCTTTCCTGCAGGTAATTCAAATTTTAGAATGCATAAGATTGCGTTTAGCTGTGGAAAATTTTCTAGACAAATTGTATAATAGATTCGGTGGTGGGGGAGGTTGGATTGTTCACACCTGCTGATATCGCCAATGTACAAGAAGCTGGTGTAAAACAGTAAGTGGCTCTTTAATAGATAAATCAAGTATTTTAAAAATATATAAATATATTCTCAGAATAATAAATTAATGTAATTGGTAGTATCCAAAAATAGAAACGAGATCTTTGGGTTTTTTACAATGTGAAAATAATATCAACATACACACACCAAGCATCTATTATAATCATTTTGAAATTTATTTCATGTTTAACTTATGCAGATATTGGTGGGGGAGTCGATTATGATGCAGAAAGATCAAACACAAGGAATTATACAACTTTTGGAAAAGATATATCACACCCTTAAAACTTATTGAAAATATATAATAAAAGCGAATCTTTGTTTGTAGCTTTGTGTAAACTCAATTTAGCAAGAGGGTTGGTTTAAACACCACAAACCATAAAAAGAAATCGGCCCAACCAGTTCACCATCGGTTTCCCGGTTGTTCAGTTATTATGTCCCCCCCCCTCCTTTGTTGTATTTTGCCAAACTTTTTTCTTGTAAAATGTTCAATCCTTACCATTGTTGTTATAGTATCGACTAATGGTAAAATGTTCAATCCTTACCATTGTTGTTATAGTATCGACTAATGGCTTCCCTTAGAAGAGAGGGAAGTGGAGAAGATGGATTACACCATGAAGTTGCAGCATTGTCCAAAGGATTCTTACACAATTTTTCTCATGGACAATGTTCGTGATAGTCAAGGTGTCTTCCAGATAACTTATGTTTCTCACAAATTAAACGGGATTTTTTTATTACAAGTGCATAGTAATAACTTCTTGGTAATTTTGATGAATGGTATTGTTAAAGAAGATGAAACCTTCAAAATGGCTTCAGGGGAAGCAAATAGGGGCCATAACGAAAGAAAAAACAATTTTTTTTTAAATGGACCAAAATCCATTTTTTTTAATCTAAGCAACGATTATGGTGACAATGAGTTCCACCCATATCCATGGGTATCAATCTTTCGCAGGATTCAATCGTCAAAAACAAAATGTAGGCTATAACTCTCACTGCACTACGAATTTATGTATCAAATCATAAATTATTCAACAATTTAAGGACAAAGTATAATGTTCCAATCACAAAAACTAACACTGCCGATCTCCAGGGTTTCACTTTCATCATCAAAACTATTTTGATTTCTTTCCCTGTTTCTTCTTTATAACTTCATCAACATACATAATACCTTTCCCTTTGTAAACTTCAGGGGGCTTACAACTGCGAACAGCAGCAGCAAACTGGTGCACCCTTTGCTTGTCGATTCCAGTGCAACACACAATATTGGGCTTGAAACAAAATACTCGAACTGCAGGAGGAACTGTCAACTCCACCTCATGACTGTAACCCAATTTCAGAAACAAAAGTCGCCCTTCAGATTCAGCTCTTGCTTTGAAACCAACTCCCACTATCTTTAGAAACCGAAAGAACTGAGCTTCCATTTCACTAATTTCTGCTAAAAGTAAGAATCGTATTGGTTTAGATGGGGAAGAGAATATTAAAAATACAAAAAAATTAAGCACTTTTCGTTGCAAACATTTGAAACAACTTGTTAGATGGTTTTCCACCATTACTTTACAGAAAATTGGCTTCAGTCACCATTACTAACTCCCAAAGCAAACCCCAGTTTCTTGATTCTATAGCATAGTATTTGTCATTATACCCCCTAAGATTGCACATCATTCAAAATCTAGATCAAGAAAAACAATCTGCAATTCCATTAATAATTTCAAAGGAATCGTACAAAATAATAGATCAGAATGCAAATTCGATGCAAGAAACCGGCGATCAAAATTATCCATTGATTTGGGGAAGTTTTCAGGAAATCAAGCTCAATATCATAACGAAAAATTCACGAACATCATCTGCTGCTTTGTTTCTGTTGTCCAAACCATGATGAATTGGTTGTGAAGACGTGCGACGATAGTCCCTGTCATAATCACCATCAACGTATCGATGTCTTCTTTGATCATGATCGCTAACAAAAGATCTGTGATTATATCGATTGTTATAAGAAAGAGTTTCTTCCTCGGAACGACTCGAATAGCTTTTCCTCGAGATCTGTCGTCCTGCCGCCATAATTAGCAACACCAACAACTGATTTTAAGCAACCAAATAACAGAACAAAGAGATAAAAAGATGAAACCCTAGCGGAGATCTAAATATCCGGCTAGGCTACAGCCCCCAAAATTCAACAAATTCAATCGCTTTTCCTTTTGAAAACAAAATTTGTAACGAGAATCCCTAATTCGTAACCCCGAACAAAATCCCAAACAGAAAGCAACAGGATATTGTTCGATTCAATACAGAAAATACAAGGAAACCGAATATCAGAAATCAATGTGAATATAGCAGATCTGTCAAATTGATTATGCGATGTATGAAATTAGACAGTCAGATCGGTGACGATCTTCGTCTTTCGAACCTCAAATTAAGATTTTGTTTTTTGAGGCCGAAAATCAATCAAAGGCGATGATATTTCTTACCGGAACAAGATTCTTCAGACTCCGGTGAACAACGATGGTGGAAAAATGAAATCGACGGCGAATACCGATCGAGATTCGAACAGCCTAGCAACCTTATCCTTGAGCAACAACCGCCCCCAAATCGATTTCTTTTTTTGCCCTCAAATAATGTTGCTTGACAATTCAAATATACGGTGTGAAAACGCGTATATGAGGCGGTGACCTAAGAAATTTTTTTGCGTTTGGGCTTCCAAGTAGGGCCTTTTATTAGTAGTATATGGGTTTTCAGCCTTACAATTTTAGCTGGGCTTAGCAACTTCTATTTCAATATAATGATTATAAATACCATTCATTAAAATTAAGCTAGACCATGGATAGCAATATGACCCGAACCGTACAAGTACAAGGCAAATTAGGGTTGCAAGAACGATTTAAGAGAATGGTGACTGAGGAGGTGAGGGGAAATGAGACTATACTGGGGTTTAAATACAAGCTAAACCTTAAAAACCGAGGTTCCATATCTGGCAAGTACGCCCCACGTACAAGATGTATGCCTAGTGTATTAGGGTGAATCCCTAGTACACTTAGCATACACGTGTACGCAGCATGACGTACTCCCCCACATGCTAATTTATGAAAATGCCACTAGGGCCTTTTTACACACTTTCTTGAACTTAGGACCAAAATGCAAGATAATTAAATTGTATGGTTAAAATTATAAGTACCTTATCATCAGAACGTTACAAGCTATCAACAGGTACTACGACTTTCGTTTAGGTTGTATTGGCTTATTCTGATTTTTATTTTTATCTCTTATTTGTATATCATTTAATGATTTTGCAAATTTCATATATCTCTTGTATAGACTCCGATTTTGACATTCCTTTTACCAAAGTTCGTATTTTAAAGAGGACTATGGTATCGTTTTGGTGACTTTATCCAAAAGTCAACCATTCTCTCAACACCTTTTGACGTTAATGATTTTAACTACGTGATTGATTTTTATATATTATAAAATTCATATCTCCTTCATATGAATTCAGATTTCTATGAAATTTATACTTCGGGGATCGGGATAACGTGTACTTTCAAAATATATAGTAATATATATATATATATATATATATGTGTGTGTGTGTGTGTGTGTGTATGTATCGGCGCACTAATATTTATGACTTATGGATGATTTGGTTGATTCTTCTATTAATCTTCATACAAAACTTTGTATTTCTATCTTATAGTGATATATATATATATATATATATATATATATATATATATATATATATATATATATATCTTTACTATATTATTAAGGATATTGCTCATTTCTTGAAAATTAAGAGGTACAACATATATTCCCTCTTATACAATAATTTTAAGCATAAACATATAACCAATCTCACACCAATTACACTACACGGATCAATTACATTATATACGTATTACATACACTGCATACACTACACGAGACCTTACCCTAATTTCCTAAACACAGCCGCCATCAAACCTATTCTCATCGTCTCCACCAAAGATGCAATGATCTCCAGTCTCCCACCGAAGGTCCACGACTGTCGTCATTTCTCCCAATCTCTTCCATCACTTCTCCATCGTCTCTCTCTCTCTCTTTCTCTCTCATAAAAACCCTAAGCAGTGTTGAGGAGTCTTTTTATTTCTTGACGCAGATCTGGAAATCGCTATCTTAATTGTTGGCCAAGTTGTCACTCCTGCCGTCAAGGTTCTCCCCTCTTTCTTCTACTTCCACCCTCGTGATACCATCGCTATCTCAACCCTCCAGCAGCCCTATGCTATCATCACCAAGCTTTCGCCGATCCAACCCAGAAGATGGTCCCACATTAACCCTTACATACTCACCCGAGTGTTCTTCCCTTTCAACTATATAATCGATGCCATGGAACCCAATTTCCTTCATTCCAACAAAAATTATCTTAAATCGTCGTCTTCATGCAGTCTCTGCCGGTACTTCTCTGGCGATGAACCCCCAAGCAGTATATTCCCTAACATCACTTCTTCAGCGTCAAACGCCCACACTTGATCTGGTAAGTTTTTTTTCAAGCTTTCACCGGTACAACCTAGAAGATTCAGAGTTCCCTAATTTTTCGAATTTGATTGCATCATGCTTGATTAAATTTTTCGAAGAAGGTTAAAAGTGTTCAAAGTTCATATCTTTTTTTTCTAATTATCTGATTTTCATTATATTTTGATTCACTAATAGTGTGTGTGTGTGTATATATATATATATATATATATATATATATATATGTATGTTGTTTTATGACAGAAAACATGCACAATATGTTTAGCTTCAATGAAACGTGGAGAAGGACAAGCTATTTTCACAAGAGAATGTTCACATTCATTCAATTTCCAATGTACTGCTTCAAATGTGAAATATGGGAATCACATTTGCCCTGTTTGCAGAGCAAAATGGAAAGCAGTTCCATTACTGGGTCCCAAAAATTTCGACCCTTCATTAGGAAGAACAAGAATGAACCCTGTAAATTGGTCACAAGACAATCCAGTGATGACCTCACACTGCCCAAACAGCCCCCCGCCACGTCACCGCCACCTCCCCGATTTTCCCAGTCCCCGAACCACCTGTTTTTAACAATGATGAACCGTTAAACCTTAAATATTCAAATAAAACCTATTCAGATTTAGACAAGTCTTTGTTAAAAAGGGTATCAGTCAAAACATACATCGAGTTCCCATCAGTTCCTCAGTTTACTTCTGTTAAGCAAGTGGTCAAAGGTAAGGATCATTCATCATCTTTTTTTATAAAAAATATGTAATTTTTCCATAATTGCCCCTTGAACAATGACAACAGGTTGGCTTGGTTGTATATGATCATCAAGTGCCATATGGTGCAACTCTAGAATACGTGGTTGGTCATTACATGGTACTTATAAAAAAGTTTTATTTATTTATTTATTTTAAATTATAAATTTTTCTTATTCTTTATAGGTGCAAATTGCAAGCTTTTTTCTACCTGTAATGGTTGTTGCTCCTCAAGAGGAAGAACAAATTGTTGACATGGCGTAAGTATTCATCATATTTTTACATTTTATCTCCAAATAATGATTTAAAAACTTTTAGTTTGTATAAAGTTTTTAATTAAAAGGAATTGTAGTCTCTCAATTTTATATACTTTCTTTGTTTTACTACATTTAAAAAAAATTACTTGTTGTAGGGCTTCTCGTGGTGGTAAAACTTTATACATTGCAGCTCTTATGAAAAACAATGGGCATTTTTGTAATTTGCTTTTGTTTTATTTGATTTCAGCTTCCAAAAGTATTAGAACATAACACAACAGACAGGGTTTTGTTGGATGCCAAGTATTAAATGACAAAATCAGCCTCGAGAAAGAGTTTGAAATTAAATCACGCCCTACTAAAAGGTAATTTACAAACAAAGTTGCATTTGTACCCTTCACCCTTGTTTATTCTTCTTTCTTTATCCGTTTATTAAAAATTTGGAAAATGTTTTTTTTTATTTTACTTCTTTAGTTAACTCATATTTTGGTCTTTGCATATTTTGGGCTTAACCCATTAAGTCACTATGCCCATATTAAGTGAAAAAGAAACAGCCATGTGTAGCTGTCCAGATTAAGTGCATAACCCATTAAGCCCATTAAGTAAAAAACAAAACAACCCCTCAATACTATGATGATTTAACTTGTTCTAATCTGACATTGTCTTTTAGCTATCTTGAGCTTGCGATATTGCTATGCTGGCGATTTTTGCATGATCATGTAATGGATGACCTCATGCGATTGGTTACAATGATAAGAGGGGTTGCAGATCCATTAGCATCAGCCTGTTGTCGCTTTTTTTTTGCTTCATTGTGCCCAGAAACTTCCCCAACTTGATACAGGTATCGACTTTTTAATTCTGTAATGTGCAAATGATTAAGTGGCCTAATTATATGTTTTGACTATGATATAGGGCATCTGATAGCTTGCATTAGTGACAAAAAAATTGTACTTACACGGATTGTATCCATCAAAGAAATCAAGTATGGGAACTTTTTGGGAGATCGAAGGTTGGTTATCAGCTTGATGGAACCAACAATTGAGTATATCATGAAATGCATTTTTGGGAATCCAAATCAGGTTAGAGATTTTGACTTTTTGACTACATATTCATTGCTGGTATACTATGGGATGTTAAATTTTTAACTACAAGTTGCTGATATGATTGTGAGACTTGGATTAGGAAATAATTCATTGGAGTTATATGGAGAAGTTCCTTATATATCGATTATTCTCCATTATTTACTTAGGGAACTTCCAATTGATGTAGTATGTTCCAATGCTGTTGAATTTCTTCACTTTGTTGATTGCAACTCTGATTATTCATTTGACCATGTAACCTTCTTAAGATTTTACCATTTTGCCATTTGACTTTTGTCAACTTTTGGTTTTGAATTTGTATATGTTTACCTTTTGTTAAACTATTCTTTGCCATTTGACTGTGGTCAACTTTTACTGATCTGTTAAATTGTTCTTTAGATTATAATATATTTCCACAAATAAAATCGACAAATATTATATTCATTTTTTAAAATTTTTTAGTATATTTGTTAAGGTTCATATGATTTGAAATATTTTTGGTAGGGATTTTGATAGTTATTATATTTATTTTAAATTTTTTTAGTAAATTTTTTTAGTATTTTGGTAGGGATTTTGATAATTAGTATATTTGTTAATTTTGTAAGATTTTAAATATTTTTGGTATGGATTTTAATATTCATGGTAAGATTTTAATTTGCTTAATTTTGGAATGATTATCAATATCCAAAAATACAACATTATATTCTATAATAGATTATTCAACCTATAAATTTAAGTTATGTTCTTCATTTTTAACTCACAGCAAAAATTTCACAGTTGAGGTTTTGGGACGATTTGATCGTTGAGTTGGAATCGGAAAGACTGCTACACTGCTTCATTGCGTTTCTTGACACGGATTCAGGTTCTCTTTACTTCTTTTATATTTTGTAACTTCAAATGTGTATAATATTTTATTTCTTACTTCTATTTGAAGTGATAAACTTGTTTTGTTTCAACTGTTGATATTATTCTGTCTTCTATCTAAATTGATCACTCTTCTTATTCTTTATCTCAAATAATACATGTATATAATTTGTATATATGTGTGTATGTATTTGTTTGTATTCTATCTAAATTGATCAATCTTCTTATTCTTTATCTCAAATAATACATGTATATAATTGAATTCTATGTGTGTATTTATTTGTTTCTGACATTCTGCATATGTGTGGTTTGTATATGTATAAGTTAGGACATTTGTTTTGAATATTTTTAATCAGTAAATATCTTTTAATTATCAAATTGATTGTGGTATTCTCGCATGTTCTTTTGAAACTTGCCAAAGAAAAAACACCACAGTTTGTTTCTTCATTATCAATATTATATATTATCTTTATTATTATTATTATTATTATTATTATTATTATTATTGATGGGTTTTAGATATAATAATTTATTATAATTTATACAATTAGACTTTTTTTTTTATTTGACAAGTTACATTTTTATTAATAAATATTATTTGTTATTAATATATGCTTTAGGTTTTCTGTAATATTTAATAAATAAACCATGTAATAAATAAACCTTACAGCTTTGGGCATCTCAAATCAATATAGTTTTTAATATAAATAAACCTTACAGCTTCCAATAATAAATCACCTAGAAAATCTATCCACATTAAAACGCTATTTTTCATGTTATTATTCTTAATATTTTAATGTTTGATAGACTAAATTTTCGAAAATACAACTATCTGTTTTTCTATTTAAATATAACATAACTAACGTTAAGATATATAATCACAAAAAAAAAAATAAGCCCACACCTTTAAGTTTATAAACCCAAATCTTAGTTTAAAAAGAATGTAATTAGTTTTTGTGCATCTCAACAAATTCAACAGTTTTTTGAACATCACAAATTAATGAGTATTTGCTTAAAACAACAAATTCAACAGTTTTTTGAACATCACAAATTAATGAGTATTTGCTTAAAACCCGAAGCTTTTATTCATAAAAATTATTGGTGTGAACTATAAAATTTATATTGTTTAATGTTTCAACAAATTTAACACTAAATTCAAGCTTTTTTAAGTACTAAATTATTTACTTTAATTTTAATACAATATGATATCTACATTTTACCATGTAATAAAAACTCTTATTGCTTGGATATTTCAAAAGCACGATACATATGTTATTATACTTTGGTAATCTCAAATCAATATAGTTTTTAATATAAATAATTAAATAAATCAATTCTACATCAATCACATCCGACTTTCGTTTTGTAGAATCATGAATGGTAATATTTACGTTGATGTATTTTCGTTGCTACTAAACTACCATTTGTGGTATGTTTTGACATCCGTTCGTATTGATTTCATTTGGAGGGACTCAAGAGCAAACAAACTTTTCATGGTTCTCATTGATCAAAATGTATGTTTACAAAACTATTTATATCTTATATTCATTTTCATAATTTATCACAAGTATTTTTGTTTATAAAAATATTACATTTTCTATTAGAGAGAGAAAGTGTTAGCAGTTGTTCCACAACAAATGATGCGCTTTATTTATGGAGGGAATCTATTGGGTGTTGTGTTTTCTTTAAACCATTTCCAAATCGAACCAACCTATGCTGAGTATCCGAGATATCAAGAATATAGTTTATTACGTGGTGATTTGATGATTAAGATCAGCAACAACACACGGTTTAATCGTTTGGCCGATGCTATCATATCATGGTTTCCGGTTTTCCCATTGGTTCCCACAATAAAAAGTTTAGTAGAAGATCGGACAGAGAGAAAAATGATGATCGGTAAATTTAATAAATTGTATATATTTTCAGCATTCTAAAGTTTTTAAAATAATAACAAGTTGTCCTTTTAATTATCGTTATTTTTAGATATTGTTGGAAAAATCATCAGAGGCAAGCGAAACTATTCCCGTTACTCTGGTTTACTGACGTTAACTTCTTTCACTTTATATCTCCAAGATGGGCTGTAAGTGTTTATTATTATTATTATTATTATTATTATTATTATTATTATTATTATTATTATTATTTTATTATCTTTATCTTTATTATTATTATGATTACACTAAAGCAAAATTAGGTGACTTTGGAAATATTTGATTATAAATAGAGGGAGTATAATAAAGATGAAACTACATATAACCGACCGAACACGCCATCAAATTGTGAGGACTGTCTATGCGATAGAGAGAAAGTATATAATATTTGTTTCTCGGGTGAAATTGGTTCTAGAAAATTATAATAATTGTAGTGATATTAAAATACCTAAATCAATACATTTTAATAGTTTTTATCTTATTTTCAGTGAATATTTTGATATCAACCAAACTAAGCAACGTAGAGTTCCAACCGCGGATGCCGGAAGCATTTAACATCATAAATATGCCTAGAAGAATTTTTAATTCCGTGTGAGACATTTGGTGGTGTTTTTTTTTGAAGTTTTGACAACTTTTACGAGTGTGTTGCTTTTATTGTTGATCTACATTAATGTTAGACATATTATGGTGAATTTTTTCATGTATGGTTTATTTTTCTTGTGTTGACTTATGAATTCATAAATAATAATTTTTGGATATCTATGGAAATTTTCTTTTAATTATGTATAACTTTCTTCTATTGTGTTTTTGGATTACAAGTTTTTAGTATATTTGTTTATTTATTAAGGGTTGTGTTGCTTTTTGAAACACACACATACATGACTACTAAATCACATGGTCTACATTACAAAATGTTACATTCTTGATGATATAATATGTGCTTATTCTTAACATTTCCATTATAGTGTTCAATGGGGACTGTAGATAAGGGAAACGAAAACTGTGATGATTCCCAAAACCCGATAGATATAGAAAAAGGTATGTCGTTTATATGAGTATATATTTGCATTTATAATATATAACTATTTATCCAAATAATATGTTTGTAGAAAATCGAAAAAGATACAATAGAAACTATTATGCACGAAAAAAGGAGAAAAACAAAAAGAGAAGAATAGCTAACGGTGAAGGATGTAGTCAACCTACAACACTCACAAGTTGCACTATAATGGAGACAAACGAAACAAATATCAACGAAGATTCCTCTGTGAGTGTTATAAGTGCTGCTCAGAGGACGAGTACTTATAATAAAGAATATTATCAACGAAGAAAGGAACGAACTATGATGACAAAAAGAAGAGTATACGCCTTTCAGGACGATCCGTATGATTTTGTTTATGAAAATATCCGTATGGAACATCGTATATTAAAGGCTCAAAACCCTTGTGTTTATTGTGGAGCAAAGCGACTACAATATGAATTCCCTACCTTTTGTTGCATGAGTGGGAAGACAAAACTGGCACACTCCCCTATTCGCACAGAGTTGCACCAACTCTTCACAAGGCAATAGCAGCTAGAAGAAAGCTTCAGGTACAATATAAGGGCGTATAACTAAACTTTTCTTTCGCATCACTAGGTGTAAATGTGGATAAAGAATTGGCCAATATGAATTCTGGAGTTTACACCTTTTGTGCGCACGGAACACTCTATCATAATATCGATCAGCTAATTTCAAGGGATGGTAAATCGAGGTATTTACAGTTGTATTTTTATGACGGTGAAGCTGAAATATCACAAAGATCCTCCTGGATGAATGTTGATAGAAGAATCATCCAAAAACTAACACGTATTCTAGCTTCGAATCCGTACGTTAGAACATTTAAACAACTTTCTGATCTAGGACCGCTTGATAATTATAGAGTGACTTTGAATGCATCGGTGGAGCTTGACCAAAGGGTGTACAATGAGCCTACCACATCTGAGGTGTGAATAGTAACATTTAACTTTATTCATTTTAAAATTAAATGTCTCATATTTATTGTTATACATATCTTATTAATCACCATATTGAACTACACCTTTGCATAGGTTGCTGGTATTTGGGTTGAAGGAAATGACAACATCACTGCATATAAAAGAAGTATTATTGTCTACGGGAGGTCTAACTATAGTACTGAAATTCAACCTCACTTTGGTTGTTATTATCCTTTGTCGTATCCTTTATTCTTTCCTAATGGTGAGTCTGGATGACATCCTAAAATACCAAGATATGGGGTGGCCATGGATGAAATTATTAGTGACAATGAAGACAATGATGAAGGTTCAGAAGGTACGCCTTTAACATTCTTTTACATATTTAAAACATGTAACACGTATTGCCTTAAATATTTGGATATTAAATTTATATTTTTCACATAAATTATGATATCACAGGATCTACTTCAAAAAAAGGCAGAAACACTGTAAGTATGCGGGAGTACTATTGTTACAAGTTCCAGATACGGTCGAATGATAATGTGATTTTGATGGGAGGGAGATTGTTCCAGCAGTTTGCAGTAGATACCTATATAAAGATTGAGACTACACGTTTGGTTTTTGTTGAAAAGAACCAAACCAAAATTAGAGCTGATTTATACCAGGGCATTGTTGATTGTTTTAATGCCGGTGAGGCTCAACCAAGTAGGGTTGGACAGAGAGTTGTGTTACCTGCAAGTTTCATTGGAGGTCCACGTGACATGCGCCGAAGATTTCTGGATGCCATGGCTTTAGTTCAAGATGATGGGAGGCCTGATATATTTCTTACAATGACTTGCAACCCAAAATGGAAAGAAATCGATGATGAGTTATTGCCTGGACAGTCAGCTCAAGATCGACCGGACCTTGTTGCAAGAGTTTTTCATGCTAAGTTAGAGGATCTCAAGGTACAATTATTGCAGAGACATATAATCGGTGTGGTGGGGTCATATGTGTATGTGATAGAGTTTCAAAAGCGTGGATTGCCACATGCACATTTCCTCTTAATAATGACCCCTGGATATAAGATGAATAATCCAGACGATTATGACAAACTTGTGTGTGCGGAAATTCCCGACCCAATAAGGTTTCCTGAAATGCATGATCTTGTCAAAAGTCACATGATGCACGGTCCCTGTGGTAGCTTACGAGAAAAAAGTCCGTGTATGCAGGGTGTGCCAAAAATATGTCGTTTCAGATATCCTAGGCAATTCAATGAAAAGACATCACAAGGAGAGGACTCATATCCATTATATAGAAGGAGAAATAATGGAATTGAGGTTACTGTAAGAAATACATCATTGGATAACAGATGGGTGGCTCCATACAACCCGAAGTTGTTAATGATGTTTAATTGTCATATCAACGTTGAGGTTTGTTCGAGTATAAAGTCTGTGAAGTACCTCTTCAAATATGTTTATAAGGGCCATGACAAACAAGTTATCCATATTGATAAAGACCAAGAAAATGTTGTTATTAATGAGATAAAAAAGTTTCAAGACGCACGTTATGTGTCCCCTCCCGAGGCATTATGGCGAGTTTTTAGCTTTCCTCTATCAAAAATCCACCCTTGTGTGATGGCGTTGCAAATACATCTCCCGAATCAACAGTTGGTTAGGTTCAAAGACGTTGACAGAATGGAAGACATTGTTGATAGAGAGAAAGAAAAGATTCAATGTTGACGGCATTTTTCAAGAAGAATAAAGAAGATTCCAAAGCGAGAGAATATTTGTATAAGGATTTTCCCAAACATTTTACATGGAATCGGAGCAACCATTGTTGGAGGATCCGGGAACATAAATCAATGGTTGGTCGACTTGTTTATGCTAATCCAGCTGAAGGAGAGAGATACTACCTACGCCTGCTTTTATGTCATATCACCGGGCCTACCTGCTTTGAAGATTTATACACAGCAAATGGTGTATTACACCCTACATTTCGAAAAGCAGCTCTTGAAAGAGGTTTAATAGAGACGGATGATAATTTATCACAGTGTCTTGAAGAGGCTTCCTTATTTCAATTTCCCAGCGCACTTAGAAGGTTATTTGCGACGATGCTGATTTTTTGTGAACCAGGAAATGTTCGCAAGT